GAGACCCTGACTGCTTTCAACCTGGGCTGTTTCTCAGGATTGTGTTTGCAGCAAGCCACCTTGATGGAGGAGGTAATGTCTCCCATTGGGTGAGACAGGCTTACTTACTGCTTATTATAAAATTGATGGATTCCCTAGGCTTATTGTTCCTCAACTGTGATGCAAATCCACTCCTTATGTAGCATCTATCTGGGTCACTCTGTGTCACCTTATGGGACTTGGGAGTGATAAGGAGCCATTGCAGACTTGATGGTTATACTGCTTGCTGTGCTGCTCTAAGTAATAAAGTTCTTTATCTCTGAGCCAAGAGCAGCATGTTCTGTTTCATAGGCAGAGGCAGACAGTTTGAAATCACCACCACAACAGATACTAGAAAGGGACTAACAAAATATTGGATAGGAAGCTGAGGGACTTAAGGTCTCTGACGGCAACATAATGGGCTCAAACTGAACAGCTGCATGATTTTCTCCAGCAGCAATTAGGATTCCAGGCATACAGTCAGCAAAGAATTTTTCTTTTTCTTTTTGGATTAATCATGGGCAAGGGAGTTTGGAATGTGAAATTATTTTTTCAAGCTTTTGTGATATAATTTATGTACAATTAACCGAACATATTTAAAGTATACGGTTTGATGAGATTTGATGTGTACGTGCTTGTGAAACTTTTACCCAGTGTCAAAATTATGAACATTTTCATCATCCCAAAAGTTTCCTTCTACTTATGATTCACTCCTCCTCCTTATCCCCATCCCCAGGTTCAAATTGATTTGCTGTCATAATAGATTAGATCTAGAATTTTGTATCAATGGAATCATACAGAATAACTTTTTTTTTTTGGCCAAAATTCTGTTTTGTCATCTGTTCAAAGTGGAAGAATTATTATTTTGTGGTTGTGTTTCTGGCATATTGTTAAAAGAAATTTATATTTTTAAACACTATCCTTCCTGAAGCTCATGAGATTAAAAAACCAGTTTGAGGGCTTTAGATAGAGCTGGTGAATTTTCTCCTCTTGTTTTATAAATGAATATAGTTCTGATAATAACAAAGACTCTAAATGCAAATGCTATTTGGACCTGAAAGTGACTTGAACATTAGAATGCCCCTGCTAATACTGAAAGCTTATTGTGGATTTTTGTTATTGAATCTTAGCTTATTCGGTGTGATTTAGTTACTGGACTACATGAAAAAAAGAGTTCTTCACAAAGCACACTTGAGAATTTTTAAATTGAATGTGGCAGCTTAAAGTTCTGATGGTATGGTGGCTGAGACTGAATTATTACTCCTTATTTTGTTGGTTTTTCTTATTTTGTTCTTTTGTACACCATCTTTTAAAAGTATCCTTTTAAACAATTCAATTACAGTTGACATTTAATATTATATTAGCTTCAGATGTACAGTATAGTGGCTAGACATTAATATAACTTACTAAGTGATCCCCAGCTTTCTCTGTAATAGAAGATAAATGTGATGGTTTGAACTTTACACCTGGAAAACCTGGGATGCGCCCTTAAGTTTAGGTTTAGAACTAGATTAGCAGGACACATTGCCTTAAAACTGGGAAAACCTTTAATATCCTGTGAACATTTGAGATGTTAACATCAGCACATGATGGTGGTTAAGCATAGTAGTAAAGAGCCTAATTCAAATCTTGACCCTACGCTTAAGAGTTACATGACTTTCGATAAGTCACTTAACAATATAGGTCTTATTTTCTTCATCTGTAAAATGGACATAACAGTAGCTATAGGGGGCTTATAAATAGTAAACGAAATCTTATAAAATTCTTAGCACAGTGCCTGGCATATGGTAAACAGTCACTAAATAAATGTTAGCTTTTGTTACTATTCCAAAGGTTTTGGAAAAGAAAAGGCTCTTATTTTAAGCACTATTCAGATTACTGAAGGAAGAATAAAAAGCTTTGCATCTCTCTCTGATCTTGAAATAGAATTCACTCAAACGGTAATATGTAGATTATTATTACTTGTCACCTACCTTGCAGTCAGATTTATCATGAAAAGGAATTTTTACTTCATGAGCTAGGTTAGCCCTGGAAAGGAATTTCATAACATTATTAACATTAGAATGTTGCAGTTTTGAACTTGGTGTAATTTTGCTCTTTCTAATGAAACCTTAAAAGTTTGGGCTTGATTTCCTGTTCTGCTTATTGTTACCCTAATGCTTTCTTTCCTGGATCACATGTATTGGTTTGGCCAAAAAGTCAGTTTAGTTTTTTACGTAAAATAAAAGACAGTTTTTAATTTTCACCGATAACTTTATTGATGTGGACAGTTTGAGTATGTCATCTATCTGCCACGTGGTAGAACGTTGATTGTTTTCAATTAATGTCGCAATTTGATCACTATCAACTTCAACTTAAACGGCCATGAAGCATTGCCAGGGAGAAATCTCCAGCATGAAACTTAGCAGACCACTTTTGACATGTTTGATCAGTCACAGCACTTTCCCCATATGCTGCACAAATCTTTTCTTGCGTTTTAGTTGCGTTTTTAATCTTTGTTGAGATGATAAAGCATATTATGCCAAAAATGTTGCTTATTTTCTTCCATCTTCAATATTAAAATGGCTACACAAGAATTCACCAATTTTGATTAGTTTTTTAAAAACGCACGCTGATATATCATGATATGACAGCTTTCACAATACAGTCTAACAAAAATGTTTCGAATGAAGTTAGAGACAACTAAGTGCTACTAGAGCCATCTTAGGGAAAAAACCAAATGAACTTTTTGGCCAAGTAGAAATGAGACTGTCAATGTATTCATATGAATGTTTCTGAAGATCTTTATTTTAACCTGTTTCTTTTAAATTCTCACTGGAGGTGGGGTTGGGGGGAGAGAGACAGAAAGAGAGCAACATCCATGTGAGAAACATCAGTTGGTTGCCTCCTATGTGTGCCCTGACTTGGGGTCGAATCCACAACCTAGATAAGTGCACTAGCTGGAAACTGAACCCTCAGCCTTTTGGTGTATGAGATGGTACTCCAACCAACTGAACTACCAGGCCAGGACAGACCCTTTAAAATCTGATTAGAATATATAGACCATGTGATTTGCTTGGATAGCATTTTCAATAAAGGCGTACTTTTAAGATCAATTCTACACAACAGTGGATTTTTGGAAAGCATTTTTTAATATTCTGAAACCTGTTATTTGACCTAAGGCAGTTCTTTGATAGAATGATAGTAGGAAATCACAGAGATCTAGTTTAGATCTGTATTGATTTTATCTGAGAGAGATACGGCAAGCAGGATGACTGTGATGTATGTTTTTAAAATTTGTTTTAATTATACTTAAACATGTATAACATGTAGTGTACAAACATGTTTTCTTTTTTAAAAATTAAAGTTTTATTGTAGTATGAGTATTAAGATTTATAAGTGAAACTAAAACCTCCACAAACATTTCCCCCGCTCCCTCAACTTCCCTTTAAATTCCCCTCCCTTCTAATCACCTCTCTTTCAAATTTGGCATTTCCCATGTAGGAATTCTTTATATATTTTGTGTACAGATCTATTATACACATGTTAGATATATTTTTTTTTACCCAGTTTTTGGTTTTCCTTTTAATTTCACTTATAGTGTTTTTTTGTGTGTAATATTTTGTCATTTTGATATAATTAAATATTTGTTGTTTTTTTAAATGGTTTTTGCTTTTTGTTTCTTATTTAAGAAGCCCTGCCTTAACTCAGGTTCACAGGATATTATTCTAAGTTTTACTTTAACACTTTTAATAATTTTCAAATTTATATTTTTAATGTGCATAGAATTTATTTCTCTGTACTGTGTGAAGTAGGGATGAGGTATATTTTTTCCAAGGGTACCAGTTGTTCACACCCCATTACTGAATGATTTGTCCTTTTCTCACTGTTTGAAAATGTTACTTTTAGCATATACTAAACTCATATATAATTTAGACTGTTCCTGGACCAGTACTATACATTTTTAGTTTCTATAGCTTTAAGAGACTGTAAGTCCTTATGATAAAGATTGGGGGTCAGATATAATTTTTGGAGTCCAGAATTTTTCCCACAAGTACCCAGTGGGCATTATGCAGTATTCTGTAATCCTACACATTGTTTTCTTAGTGAAGTGTAAGAATGATCACACTAAGTGAGATACATATTAACAATAAGTGACCTGAGATCAGGTCAGGTTTTGCTACTAAGTGAATTAAAAAGGGAAAAAAAAAAACCCTTATATTTAGATCTTTCTGGATTTTTGGATGGCAAATAAAGGATTGTAGACCTGTAATTTATCTTTCTGTTTAGGGGATATATTCCTTCTTTGTTCTTTTATTTCAGGTTATTTTGGTTATTCTTGTACTTTTACTTTTCTATTTGAATTTTAGAGTCAACTTAGGTGAAGAATCCTGTAGAGATTTTCATTGGGATTTGAAGTAGTTGGGGAAAAACTGACACCTTTACAGTGTTTGTCTTCTCACCCATGAACATGGGTATCTTTCTTTTTGTTCCGGTGTTCTTTCAGTGAAGTTTTGTAATTTTTTAAAAAAAATTCTTTCATATTATTGTTAGATTTATATTGAAGTATTTTTATGGTTATTGTGAATGGATTTTTAAAAAATCGTATGTTTTAATTGTTATTATTGCTGTGCAGGAAGATGTTACTGTTCTTGTGTCTGTCAAATTTGTTGAGTTTTATTATTAGTTCTAATAACTTACCATTTGATAGTCTTGGGTTTTCTAGTTAGAAAGTCAGGTATTCAAACAGTTTCATCTTCTCCTTGTCAATCACTTTTTCTTTTCCATTTGCAGGATATGGTTTCAGTATTCAGTTTTTAGACATGTGAAATAGTTTTAGAACGATTTTTTCTACAAAATAAATTGTGCTGTACACAAATTTCGAATGCATGAGTAAATAAAGGATAGAAGGGAGATCTTCCTCAAGTGGAGGTAATCAAAAGTTTCTTAGAAGAGAAATTGGTTATTATTGAAGAATTTACTGTGTGATCTTTTTGTTACAGATATGGTGCAAGATATTTCTTCAAGACTGGACATCTGAGGACCTGTTATTTCTGATTAGCCTTAAGCAAACTTGCAGTCAAAGAGAAACCTCACGGAGTTCCATATTTTGCTTTTCGCTTTATACCTTTCCTGGAACCTAAATTCATCTTGTAACCATGTATGGAAGCGCTCGCTCAGTTGGGAAGGTGGAACCAAGCAACCAGAGCCCTGGGCGTTCACCTAGGCTTCCACGTTCCCCTCGATTGGGTCATCGTCGAACCAATAGTACAGGAGGGAGTTCTGGAAGCAGTGTTGGAGGTGGCAGTGGGAAAACCCTTTCAATGGAGAATATCCAGTCCTTAAATGCTGCCTATGCCACGTCTGGCCCTATGTACCTAAGTGACCATGAAAATGTGGGTTCAGAAACCCCTAAAAGCACCATGACACTTGGCCGTTCTGGGGGACGTCTTCCTTATGGTGTTAGGATGACTGCTATGGGCAGTAGTCCCAATATAGCTAGCAGTGGGGTTGCTAGTGACACCATAGCATTTGGAGAGCATCACCTCCCTCCTGTGAGTATGGCATCTACTGTTCCGCACTCTCTTCGTCAGGCAAGAGATAACACAATCATGGATCTGCAGACACAGCTAAAGGAAGTATTAAGGGAAAATGATCTCTTGCGGAAGGATGTGGAAGTAAAGGAGAGCAAATTAAGTTCTTCAATGAATAGCATCAAGACCTTCTGGAGCCCAGAGCTGAAGAAAGAACGAGCCCTCAGAAAAGATGAAGCTTCCAAAATCACTATTTGGAAGGAACACTATAGGGTTGTGCAGGAGGAAAACCAGGTTAGTTTTACATGTATGTTTACTTTTACTCTCTGAATTTATATATGTAAGTGAATGGAGCCATTCTTTTTTTCTTTCTAAGGTTTATCCCTTCTTGGTTCCTTTTTCTTTCTGTTTATTATTTAATATTTTCTGTCCTCTGTTTCTTGTTCTTTATCAGATCTGGTCCTGTGCCTTGATATTTTTTTTCTTCTTTTTCTTTTTGCCATCTCTTCTTGACAACAATGAGGAGCTGTTCTTTCTGTCGATATTCATGATAGTTTAACTTCAGGATGCTTATGTAACTTTTTTATTTAGTTAACAAATTTAAGTTGGAAGAAAGGCAACTTGGTGTGATTAGTTGCTTCTAGAAAATAAATGAGATAACTAGGCATTACAATTGTGGGCTTTGCAGTTCAGGAGCTAAGTGCTGTCTTATTAGATATAAGAAACACTCATTTGTTATTTTTTTCTGCCCTCTTTCAGGTAATAGTTTATGTTTTGGCCGTAGACATGTTACATTCAGTGACATGTAAGTGCAGAGCTGTGGACAAACCATATTCAAGCTGCAGCAATTAAAATCTTAATCATACCTTATATTTAAAACACTTTTAGAACTTTTCTTAAACTTACAAGTTTGAATTATTTGCCTTCTTAAAAAAGTTCTATACTGTTAAGGGAGAATTTTAAAGTTCTTACCTCATTGTTGGTATTAGACTTTATTTTTGGGTTAGATTAATAAAGTTATGACAAAAGTAATAAACTTATTAGGATTTCTGCAGTGTTCATGAATGATGCTTAAAAAGTAAAGAAGGAATTACAAATGATCTCTGTCTCTGATGAAGTAAATCTAATTTACAATGATTGTTTTACTATTCTATTATCCATTATTAGTACTCAGCTCAGGCATTCAGATCTACTACTTTGGTTACTTAAAGAAGATACGGAGTTGGATTGTTTTGGGTGGTAAGCCCCAGACTCACTTTTGGCTCAGTGCTGTTCATCTTTTTTTTTCTGCCATATTACATCTCAGGGTTGTGACAGACTCCTATACATAATGATTATTAACTGTGACAGTGACCCTCAGTAGAAGGAATGTGTATATGGAAAAAAGGTGTTTAAAAGCTTAGATATGTTTAGGTATAAAAAGCCACGCAGGTGGTCTTGATGTCTCCTCACCGTGAGAATCATTGATGATCAAGATAAAATACTTGAGGATATGTCAACAGACTGGGGAAATACTATTTCTTCAATTAAACTTTAAGTTGCAGGAAGTGAAGTACAATGTGAAAAGTTGATCATTTTTAAATATAAAGTAATGGTACATTCTGAAAATTTTTCTAGTTTGGCATTGAATTGTAAACATCAAGAGAGGAGCAATGAATTTGCTTAATTTAATGTTGTGGAGTTTGCTTAATTTAATGTTGTGGTAAAGTATCAGTGTAGCTTAGGTCTTAGAGACTGGGTGGATATTAGGTTCTTTTAGAGACTGATAAATTTGGAGTATGTACTGGTGGCATATCAGTGCTCAAATATGAAATACTTTATTTAGAGAGTGAAGCATTAAAGTGCATCATACTTGAGTATTGTCCAATCTCAAATGTATCATTAATATAAAAATCACAATTTATTTTCATTGACCCCAAAAGTGGCTGAACTATAACTTATAAATATTGTGTAAAAATTATGCATGAATAAATACTTTTCCTTTAAAAGTTATACCTTTTAAGAATAGATTATGTGTATGTATAAATGTAAATATAATGTGTGTATATGTGCGTGTACATATATATGTATCTATATATAAATAAATAATTAAAAGTGTATTTTGGTGGAAGTCAAATTGAGTTTACTGGTTTTATCGCTGAATTAGTTAGCCTCCAATGTACCTTTCTGATGATGCTGAAAATATGTCTATCACCAAGATAGTTTTTATTATGAAGCAACTTGGAAATGTCTATTTTAACGAGGAAAAAATTATTGGTATACTTCTCAATTTTCAAAAAATTAAGAAAGCTATTTAATGCCTATACTTCAAAAGCTGTGTGGATAAAAAGCAATGGCAATTCTTTCCTAATTATCAAGCTACATTCAAAGATAAAATATTCGAATCTTCTGGAAAGACTATAGTAGGGACTCAGCACTTCAGCCTAGTGAAAGTGAAACAGCCCGTAGGACTATGATGCCAAAAAAACCGTATGTACTGAAGGAGGGTGAACACTGCTTTATCTAGATTCCGCCCCTTGCCCTAATTAAACACCAAGGCTGGCAGGAATATATTATTCCTGCACCCACTATAATTATCACGCAGTCCTAAAATTGTATATCTTTGGTCCAAAAAACGAAGGGTGCAATTTTAAAGTAAAGTGAAATACTGCAATGAGATATAGAGAACTGAGAATGCTAATTAATAGATTATAGTGAGCCAGCAGTGGGCCCAATTAAACTCTGTTCATTATACCCTCCATGGCCCTCAAGATCAGACATTTTCTATTTTAAAAAGAAGATTGGTCTAATAGGATTTACAATAATTAAACAAATATCCCCATTCCATTTTGAGACTGGGGATGTAGATGCACTCTAAGTGTTTGTTCTGCTTGGGCCTTAGAGATCTTGGTCTAGAATCCTATCAAATGCCAAACCACGTTTGTCAGAATTGCCTAATGTGTATGCTTCATTATTGTGGAGTCCTTGTAGACGAGTGTTTCTAAAATAAATACCCAACTGTTTTTATGTCTCATACTGTTTTTGTTACTGAACTTTCAATATTGGTCGTTGTAAAGATGGAACAATGTATGTTTTAACAGGAAAGGCCTTTTTTCTTTTTTAAAATTGACAGTGAGGAAGGCTTTTAGTATGTTTGCTTGATGAAGAATAAAAATCTAGCTGTGGGTGTGCTTGAATGCCAAAGCTAAGGCTTTGGAGGATTTATATTTTTTATTTTATTCTAAACAACATCGAATGAGATATTGTCATACTTCCTCTATTGTTATTATGCCTTGTGATATTTCTATACGTTGATTATAGTTGGAAGCTTATTTTGGTTATTTTAAAGCCCTTCCATTGGAATTTTGTGTAGTCATAATACATTCTGTTTAATATTATAGTGTGGCAAGAGAGTTTAATGTTTTGTTTTGTATTTTTTTATTTTTAGAGTCTGATTTTATTTAGGATTCAGGTTTTTTGATTCTGGTTTTATTTATTTAGGGATCAAGAGAATTTCAAGGTCACAAATGTGAAAAGATAAACTTACCCTGTGTGAATTTTTGTGTTGTCATTTGTTCTTACTATTTGGACACAGGAGACTATTAATATTTTTATAGTTTTAGGTTGTGTCTAGATTTGTCACGTGATAAAAGCCATTATTATTTGAATTTAAGCTTTTTTGTGAAGTTGCTAATTGTTTCATTGTCATTGAAAGTTTGATCTTAAAACCTAGGATCTGTGTCTTGGACTATTTGTTTAACTTTCCTGTTTGATAATTCTGGTTTAACATAGAGATGAATTATGAATGGTTATTCAGAGTATTGTGGGTAAATCAGTAGCCTAGTTTATTTTCCAGATAGTTTTGGTATTTTTTAGAGTGCCAGATATGGGATATGTTAAAGAAACTATGCAGAATGACCTGAAGAAATTAAATCAGATGTAAACTAGATACATATTTTTGGGGAGGAGTTAACAGTCACTTTCAGATGTTCATGTGATATGTGACTTACAGAAATTTAAGCAACCCATCCATTGGATCTTGTCACGTACGCAGCTGTGTAAGTAGGTTTGAAAATTGGCTTCTTGTAGAGTTGGTAAGTTTGTTTATCTGAGATGTAGTGGAGTACTATGTAAAATGATTCAGTGAATTTAATTAAAAATGTGCAAATATCTGAGAAGGCTTATTTGTGAGGAAATAAGAGAATTTTCCAGAGGAGTGCAGGGTTTTTTTTTTGGCTTTGTTTTGTTTTTTCCTTTACTGTCTTCTTGCATTTCACAGTGCAGTCTAGTGTGTGATTTCATACCAGTGAAGTGGAATTGTTTTTAGGGATTTGCTAATTTACAGTTACTTTGCAGATAGCAACTTAAATATGAGTTGGGAAACCCACTATTCTGTTGGGCAAAAGAAACCAGAATATGAACTTAGCTTTTAGATACATTAATATTGATCAAGGGCAGTCATAGTTCCATTTTACTTTTTAAAATCATACTGCTTTGGAATTTGACATCATGGTACAGGTGCTTTTTCTGCCCAGAAGAGTATTTGAAGGGCCTAGACTCCATGCTGTATAACAGATGGTTGAGGGAATTAAAGAAGACGAAATGTGTGACATTTCAGTTATACTCTGTATTTGATGGGCAACCATGTAGAAGGGAGTTTTTTTCTCTTTCTTTTTTGGTGTTTTCTTTGGAAGGTTGACACTGGAAAAATAAGTGCAAATATTAGGGTTTTAGGTTTTGGCTCCATGGAGGAATATATTTTCTCACAAAGTTGTATCTATTTGATGGAAGAGTCAGTTCACAAAGTAATCCTTGACCACTACGAGGGTCAGTTATGGGGAGGTCACTCTGACAGCTGCGTGAGTGCTCTGTGTCTTTCAGTTCTTCAGAATGCCTGAAATGATATGGCGTGAAGTGGTACTTCATGGAGAGCCATTTAGAATTTCCCACCATCCTTCCCGCTCCTTTTTATCCCCCCATCCCTTACTGCCTCCTTCCCTCTTTCCCTTTGTGAAATTTTATTAAGATATAATTCAGTTTATCCTTTATAAGTATGTAATACTTTTCCCCCAAAGATTTAATGTATTTTTTAGAGAGAAGGGAGGGAGGAGAGAGAGAGAAACATTGATTAGTTGCCTCTTCTGCACACAACCCAGGCATGTGCCCTGACTGCGAATTGAACTGGTGACCTTTATGTTGGAGCTCAGTCCACTGATCCACACCAGCCAGGACATAATATTTTTACTAATCTGACTTATTTGAAGAAGAATTTTGAATGACATAACAATAGACACTATTTAGGAGGCAGCTTATAT